TTTAGCCCGGTTTAGTACTTTGAGTCATTTTCAGTAAATTTTCCGGGATTAATTCAGTTCAGTAAAATCATGTCCAAATCAGTTCAGATTAATTCAGTTCCGGTTAATCCGAATAAGTCTAAAAATCAGATTAAGTTAAATAGAGCATTTTAACGAGATCAATCAGTTAAGTTAAACAGTCTGAGCATAGTCAATAGTAATTGCTTATATTATTTTCAGTTTAGCAGGCATCAGCACTACCTATCAGTTCAGCAGTTCAGGCGGGGACTCAGACTAAGTACTACATTGTTTATAATTGCTCTACCATGTTCGAGGTATGTATTTTTAGTAACCGCTCGGGATGGTCGCCGGTCCATTCTGAGTTCTAGTGGCCTTATCTAACCACTAGAGTGTGCACATGGTCCGGTATTAGTTTTTGCCGGGAGATAGCGGCATTAGTTTGTGCCGAGCGGCATTAGTTTGTGCTGAGCAGATTCAGTTACGTGACTTCGGTCGCGAGTTCAGACCGGTATCAGTTCAGTTCAGATATATATGCTTAGTTCATGATATTGTTATTATTTACGATGTTTTACATTAGTATGAGTTTCCACGGAGCACAGTGCCTTAGTGCTCACTCCCCAGTTTTATCATGTTTTTCAGGTCAGGATGTCGGCCAGGGAGCGTGATGTGACGGAGCATGTCGGGACTTGCAGGACATTTATATATATGTTTTGGACTGTATAACTATGACTTACGCTTCCGCTTGACTTTTAATGACTTAGGATGATGGTTTGATATATTTTGACGAACTTATCGTATTTTGACGAACTTTTCAGGAAAATAAAGTTTTAAGTAACCGGACGTTTTTATTAAATTAAAACAACGGTTTTCTAAGTTAAGTAAGGATTTTTCACGGTAGCACCCCAAAACAGTTTCGCAAAGTAAAAATGTTTTAGTTTTCAAAAACTTTGCGAATAATTGCGCAACTCTGATTTATCTAGTAAGGTGGGGTGTTTCAATTGGTATCAGAGCACGTTTCTGCGTCTCTGATAAGTTTTCCGTCAGAAATTTTTCAGAAAAACCCGAACCGTCATGCTCACGCCCCGCCGACGACAGGTAAGTGCTGTTGCAATTCAGTTTTTCAGTTATTATAAACATATTACTTTGTCTATGCTCAGAATGGAGGATCAGGACTTTAGTTAAGATGCTCGAATCAGATTCAGACCTTAGAGTTCGGACATGACTCTAGAATTCAGGCATTCAGATATGACTCTAGACGTTAGGATCTTCCTATATGACTCTAGAGTTCTTCAGGTTTCATGTCAGTATTCATCGGCCATTCTTGGCAACTCGTCAAGAGATCTGTGTGCCTAGTAATCAGTCAGTAAGGTTATCATGCATATTCAGTAATGTTAAAAAAAAAAAAACTTTTCTCGATGTTCAGATACCGCCCCTTAGGGATCCCGATCACTCAGTTTTTATTCAAGTCACAGTAGTCGCACAGTTCCGCGACTATCATGTTGAGAAATTCTTCGGCCGAGGAAATACCCGTATCAGGGGCAAGTGAATTCATAACCATAGAAAAGGATTGAGTTTAAGAACTCTAGATTCAATTCTAGATTCACTCAAGTCAAGTTAGCAATTTGTCAGAAGATTTGTAAGCATTGTGCTAAACAAATCTTAAGAATCATGTTCCTTAGAAATTTTTTATCGAGGACTGCCATTTTGTCAATCAACGGGCAGACTCCAGGGAGAAATTCCTTGATTTAATTCGAGGAATAGACTCAAAGTTCCTAAGTCAGATCAGTCAGTCAAGATCAAGGCAAGAATTTTCATGTTTAAGGTTGTTATAAATTCTCAAGTCATTGTTAAAGTAACGGTTTCCAGTGTATAAGAGTCAATAGTCCGGGTTACCATGGAGGCTTGAAATAAGAGCCACTCAGCCGGGTATACCATGGAGGCTTGAAGCTGGGGCCGAGTCAGTAAGATTTCAGGTAATAACAACCTTTCAAGTCAGTCATGTCAGATATTTTATCAGTCATGTTATTTTAAGTTATGACTTTCAGAAGTCAAATTACTTTGTACTTGCGGGACCAGTTGATACTGGAGCAGCCCTATATAGTACAGAGTTCACGTTCACGATTTACAGTTTATGTTCATGATGTAAGGTCGACGTATAATAGTTGTTCAGCCGGGTAAAATGTGGCGGTCTGATATACAGACCATTAGTCCAGATTTACCTGGAAACTTGAAGTCGCACCTTATCAAGACAAGTAAGTCAGTAAATATCACGTTTTCAATCTCGAAGCGATTATTTAGGTTGTCTCGGGATAGTTTTCAGAGTTCGAACAAAGATGATTCAGTCATGTGAAAGTCAAGTCATGGTTTTTCAGCCATGAGAGTATTCAGGCCAGTCATGACAAGATCGAGGATAGTCTGTCTGGTAAGACAAGACTTATCTACCATTTTCAGTATGTCAGCACCTCGATTCTCAAATTCTGAAGAATCTGAGAAATCGTGGGAGATATTAAGTCATGAGGGACTTCTTCTTGAGGTTAGTGTAACCTTAGAGGGAGTAAAAAGGTTGCAGGTACTACAGGTTGACATTCGCCGCAATGGAGAAGAGCCAATCGACAACAACGGATCATGCCATAATGATAAACCGACGCTTTCCATTCAAGGATGCCATGTCTGAGTCTCAGTACAATGGGAGATTACCGAGAGAGTCTTCACCACCAGCATTCCGATTGAAGATCCGCCAGCAGCCAGGAGAGGACGGCCAACATATTTCAGAGTTTTGTCTTGAGATCATGTCTTAGCAAGTGGAACACTTTCTTTCAGAAAAGTGTCCATTTTCAGTCAGCAGTATTCTACAATTCACTTAATTGTGAATTGATGTATCTTCAGTTCAGATCATGTCTTTTATTCAGTATTAAATTACTGGATTCTCAAGTCATATAATCAGTAAGTATAAGCTTTAAGTTAAGCTTGTACATTCCAGTTTTACTGTTCCGAGTAGCTCAAGAAGAGGGTAACTTCAGCACCGGTGTTGACTATCCCTGATCCTTCTCGGAGTTTCACTATCTTTAGCGATGCTTCGAGGCAGGGCTTGGGATGTGTCCTTATGCAGGACGGACAGGTCGTTGCGTATGCTTCGCGTCAGCTTAAGCCCCATGAGCAGAACTATCCTACGCACGACTTAGAGTTAGCCGCAGTCGTTCACGCCCTGAAGATCTGGCGTCATTATCTTTACGGCGGACGCTGCGAGATATTCACTGACCATAAGAGCCTACAGTACATCTTCACACAGAAGGAGCTTAATATGAGGCAGCGCCGTTGGCTCGAATTGGTCAAGGATTATGATTGTTCTATCCAGTACCATCCGGGGAAGGCGAACGTCGTCGCAGATGCCCTAAGCCGAAAGGTGACGGGAGACTTGACGTACGTCATTACGCAGCAGAGTCCATTGATCCAGGAGTTCGCCCGGATGCAGCTTCAGGCAATTGATGCACTCCCCACAGCTGTCTCGGAGAGCACTAGTGCCAGTGTCAGTGCTATGCAGCTTCAGCCGACACTGAGAGAAAGGATCCGGCGAGAGCATGCTTCTGACGAGTTGTGCATGTCATGGAGGCCAAGGTTCGCGCCGGAGGAGTACAAGATTTTCAGCAAGGCGCCGATGGTGCCTTGGAGTTCAGAGGCAGGATCGTGGTCCCGAAGGCCGAGGCATTGCGGAAGAAGATTCTATCAGAGGCACATACCGCACCTTACTTGGCCCATCCCGGGAGCACGAAGATGTACCATGACCTGAAGGGGTCGTTTTGGTGGAGAGGCATGAAGAAGGACGTCGCTGAGTTCGTCAGGCAATGTCTTACCTGTCAGCAAGTCAAGGCCGAGCATCAGAGTCCAATTGGCCTCCTACAGCCACTGCCGATTTCAAGATGAAAGTGGGAGGAAGTCACTATGGATTTCGTTACGGGATTACCGAGGTCGGCTGAACATCACGACGCTATCTGGGTCGTGGTCGACAGATTGACCAAGGTAGCACACTTCTTACCTGTTTCGATGAAGATGTCTCTGGATAAGTTGGCTGAGATATATACCCGTGGGATCATCCGACTCCACGGAGTGCCCGTCACGATTGTATCAGACAGAGATCCCAGATTCGTCAGCCGATTCTGGCACAGCTTACATGAGGCGATGGGCACCAAGCTTGAGTTCAGTTCAGCCTACCATCCGGAGACAGATGGTCAGTCAGAGCGGACGATTCAGACACTTGAGGATATGCTTCGTGCCTTGGTTGTGGACAGGGGTGCCAAGTGGGAGTCACTGTTGCCGTACGCAGAGTTCGCGTATAACAACAGTTATCATTCCTCCATTCAGATGGCTCCTTACGAGGCACTTTACGGTCGCAAGTGTCGTTCCCCTCTCTATTGGGACGACGTCGGAGAGCGGCGATTACTCGGTCCTAAGATGATCGAGGAGACAGCAGAGCAAGTCGAGTTGATCCGGCAAAGACTCAAGACAGCTCAGAGTCGACAGAAATCTTCCGC